ATGCTGCCCTCAGGGTGCAAGCTCACTGCTAGCCGTGCTAGCTAGCAAGTCATCAACCTGTGTGTCCCTGATCGGTGGACAGTACGTGAGGCACGAGCAGGCCAAGCCAAGCCGACCAAACCGGCTGGAAGGCTCCAGCTCTCATTTGACTGAAGCTCTGCTTTTGACTTGTTGGAGTGGATCCATCTGGCGGAGGCCATGGACGACGCATGCGTCCTGCACACCGAAACCGTACCGCAAGCCGTCGAGGCCTCAAGCAAGGATGCCTCACCGGCGGGAATGACCATTATTAGTGCAGCCAAATCCGCCGTACTTTGTCGTTTTTGCGAAGACGTGGCTCCGTCAACAAATTCGTCAGGGCCCTGATGGCCCGTTCTTCCGATTGCGCACGGAATCGGGACACCACTTCGAGTTCCCGATTGTTGATGCCCACACTTACTTGGGAGCCAAGATCAGTTACACTGATCCTCGTACTCAGACTCAGACCTTCTTGTACCGCATGAGTCTCGCAAAGGTGAGTGGAGTCGCTTGCGAAAACTAGTCTGCTCCAAGCAAGGACTCTACAGACGGGGCCGTCTGCGAATCTGGTACTCCCGGCTCCGAGCCATCCTTCGCTGCCCTGCACATTTCAGTCATACCAGCAACCGAGAAGTCTTGGCCCGAGCTAATCTGCCGGATGTTGTTGATAAGCTTGCACGGGACATGGAACGCTTGAATACTAATGTGGAGCAGCTCACACAGGAAGACTCCCTGATGGTATCCGGGCCATCCGAGCAGACATGAAGTGTGTTCAAGATCCAACGATGGGCACAGGCGATCTTTGACTGCTGTTATTGTGGACGGGTCTTTGCCACATAGACATGCGCATGGCATCGATGGCATGCCTACCTGCAGATTCTGTCGACGTCCCTTCCGAAATGGTGTAACCTCCGTAAGCACATAGAACGCCGCCAGTGCCCCAAATTCGGATTCAATGAGCAGACTAGCCACCCTGACCAGACCCGTAAGATCCCTAAGCCTCCTACATCTGCCAGTGCTACTGTGGAAATCCCACAACCGACATCTCCTCGCCCTTCGCCGTCTTCGCCTCAGATTGTCGCAGCAGGTACCTCTGCCGCCTCACCACAGGCACAGGAGGACCCACTCCTTCTAGTGCAACGAAGTGGCATTCTTGAGATTTTCCAACAGTCCGGCTGGCATGCTTTGATGAGTTAAAGCAAGCATTGCAGCATCACTGCCCGTTGTGCCGACAATGGTGCATGGATCACGCCGGCTACCAAGCGCCACATGATTCAGCAGCATGACACGTGGACGCAACACTTTCCCCAGCTTATGCCGCATCTTACCCCCTTCCGAAGAAACATGGTTGCCTTTGCCGATATTGTGGTCTCTCAGCTGTCAACCCACAGACACACTGGCGAAACTGCCTTATTGTGCTGGTGAGCTGCTCTACGCCTTTTGTGCCCGTCCATCACTCCAGGACCCACGAGGGAACGAGAGAAGGACAGTCCAGAGCTGAAGAAGGACAGGTACGATGCTGGTCTGGAGGGGGCGGCAATTCAATGGGCGGCACGGGATGCACCGAAGAGCCAAAAGGGCAAAGGGAAGCAAGGCAAGGGAAAGGGAAAGAACGGCAAATAAGCACCGGCATCACCGGCATCATGCCGTATTTCAGGGGTGGAATCAGGACTGGAACCAGGGCTGGAATCGAGCCTCAGAGGCGGACATCGAGCATGTGGCCAGGGTAATCAGGCTGGCCGACACGAACTTCAGACCTCGAGGCGACCATACATCTGCCCATCTGTGCGATTAACATTGAGCAAGCATTCACTGCTGAATACCACATCAGGTCGATCGTGGTCCTTGATGCATCGAGAAATGGCCGGACTCTTCGTGCCACACATCGAGAAATGAAGACGTACTGCACATTTGATGCATTTCCATGACCAATGCCCAGCGCATCGAGTGTTCTTCTCGTTGTGCTCCGATCTGTATGCCAGGAAAGCGATTCCTGAAGATGGCAGCCATTAGCATATTCTTAGTTAGCTGCATGAGCCCAGAGTACGACGTAGTGTCCCAACCGAGGACACCGGCATAAGCCTGTGCCTCTCGCCAGGTGGATACGGTCCGCTGCATGCTGAATGATCTACTACTACTGCTACTACTACTACAACTTCTACTACTTCTACTGCGACTGCTACTGCCACTGCTATTGCTGCTACTGCTACGGCTACGGCTACGGCAACGAGAATTACGATTACCATTAATAATACTCAGTAAAAAAGAATAACGATATGACAACAACAACAACAACAACAGCTAATGCCACCAACGAACCCTAAGACCAATACTACGACTTCTTTGCTGTTGCTACCACCATCACTGTCACGTACGATTGCAACTGTTGCTGCTGCCAGTGTGACGACGACGACGACGATTGCCACGCCCATACATCTCCTCCTACCAAATGGATCCACACCCACACACTCGCAAGAAGCTCAGGTAACCTTCACCGACTTTGCGCTCAGCACCCTGGAGCCACGAATCGAGATTGATGAGCCGCTACCTATTCTAGCCGCGCTCTCTTCGTAGCAGGTTGTACAGTTCTTAATTCACGGTAAGGCTGCTTCAAGCCGGAATACCTCCACAGTCAGAGCTGTGCAAGCAGCAACGTCCACAGTCACATGCGGCACCTGCAAACAATTATATAAAAAAAGCGTAACCCCTAAACCTGGCCATTGGTTTCCGATTCGCTTACCCACGCACTTGGCCGACATGCTTCGTGGAACCGTCGAACTCTTCCAACTTGATCTTCTCCGTAGCTGCGGCTGCCTCAAGTCTCCTTGAGCCACAGACTTGGCTAAGCCAGCCATGTGGTTTTCCGGAGTGCAAGTTTTAGCACAAGGCCAGCTGGCTTGTGTCATCGCTCCCCGCCTAGGGGTTTACTGTAGCCGTGGCGAAGGTTGTTGTTGGTTGTTGATGTGAGGGAAAATGAAGGCAATTGATGCGGGTTCGTAGGCAACACCAGCAGCTGGTGTTTGGCAGCAAACCAGTGCTACTAGAGCATTGGAATTTGCTTGTTCGTGCCGGACTGCGACTTAGCATCGGCGCCGCGTTTTGGTCAGCCAAAGACAAAGCAGTAGACCAACGCACTGGTCTGTACCCAGAATCTGCATTGCACTGGTGGACAGTGCTCAGGCTTCGCCTTCGCGCTGTGCAAAGCACTGGTGCCACGGAGCCACCTCACCTGATTCGGTCGCACACAAAAAGCTCAGCCTGTGATGATGGTGCATCGAACAACTGTACTTCCCGCACCTCCACAACGCACCTCCGCAGCTGCAGATTTGGAAACTTGGAAGTTCAGAAGTGTTGCACAGCCATAAACACGACCCCACGTGTCCCCTTTGCCTGGACTCGGTCATTGCAGTGGGGCATGTCATTGCAGCGTACGTGAGCACAAAAGAAGACTTTAGTCCAAAAGCCTTCCGGACGGCTTCAGCTACCTTGCACACCAGGTCCATCCAGGCGCAGGCAAGACAGGGCTTCAATACGGTTTGGACGCAGAATTCGACGCGACTGTGGATACGATGTGGTGTGCGCCCTTGAATGCGATTTCGGACACGACCCAGCATCCCCCTTTGGATACATGGTTTTTCAATACGATCATACAGTACATGTTCGCGAGTTTTGCACGGTTCTGAGCTTTGGATACGGAATTGGAAGGTTTGGAAACAGGTTCCAAGGCGCTTCGCCTTCGGTTGCCTGCGGAAACTTTTGTATTTGGAGAACGAGCTTAGAGGATGTTTTGTTGATGAGGAGCTGTCTCTCCTGCAGTTCTTCCAGGCACGCTTGGCATGTCGAAAGTTTGCTCCGGCATATGCAACTCCAAGTCGGGTCGTAGTCTCGGTCGGGGAACAGAAGGGCTCGAGCCAGCTGAGTAGATCAGGTACAGAGCCACCCAGCTCTTGCCGAGAACAAGCCATGGACATGCGAGAAGTAGACTGAATACCTGTTGCGGCTACCATGTGCACTGCAGAACACGGAGCTGGGAGCAAGACCGACGTTTGGCAGCAAGTCGAACAATGGTTGTGCGGCTTCTTCCACTATTCTTTATCAACATGATCCCTCCCGCGATGAGTAACAACTTTACATAAGACTCATAGCGGGTATCATGGATCGTTTCTATCGAAACTTTTGTTGCATCCAGTGTTCACCACATCTGTCTTCGTGGAAAAGCATTTGACCCTCCACTTAGCACATTTGAAAATATGAGTTTGGTGGGATGCAAGATCCCAGATTTCTCAGGGACTTGCTGGTGTAGCATTCGTTCTTGTAGCGAAATGTCGAAAACGACAACTTGAGTCGAGTGCGTTGGGTATTTTCCCCCTTCACAGACAGTGTTGCACAACGACACCTCGGTAACCTGGGTTTAAAGTTTCGTTCGACTCGTGAGACGCATGAGTCTTTTCGGAGTGTCAACCAAACCCGCAACCTGAACGCCTCTGACAACTACGAAACATCTGGAGCAAGTCTTGCAACGACATCGACCAAGTTTCCCAGTCATTTGCCTGGGCCTTATTCTCCAGCCGGGCACGAAAAGGTTTGGCCACGAATGCTAACAAAGAGCTCAGGAAGTCCGGAAGCCTTATTGCACAAGTCGATTCCCAACTATGTTCAGAAGTGCCGGGACTTTGAATTCCCACATCCCCATGATCTTTCAAGCATGCTGTTTCCAGCAAATTGTTTAGCACTCCTCTGCGACCTCTCCAAGATTTTTGGAAGACTCCCTGGCCGTTTCGTATTATCAGGTAGTGTACCCAGGCGTACACCAAAGGAATCTCTCGTACCAATCTCCAACAACTTAAAGATCCACATCTCCATCCAGGCAGTGTGCGATAGTTTATGCGGCTGTCTCAGCATGGAATGCAGTTGCGAATAAGGACCTAAAGGCTATCGCCGAGATTCTTGAAGATGCCCGCCTCGAAGGACGATTGCGCTCAATGAAAATTAGCTCAGACATTGCAGCTTGCCTTGAATGATGTCCTCGGCCGGTTTGACAACTACTGGTGCTACCCTCTTCCGACGCAGATCTACAGGTTCGAGCGCTGGCGCAGCTTGCAGAACAGGCCGTTGCCATGGGCATCGACTACAAGACTCTCGGGATCGGTTTCTGGCCTGAGGTTGAGCACGGATCGGGTAAGTAGCAGTGCCCCGATGTGCAAAAAGGCTGGCACCATCCCTCCTCGCGGACGAGCTATCGGCGCTGCGAGCACCGGTCCACCCGCTCGCCGGCCTCGCGCCAAAGGCAAAAGGCATCCAAAGCTCGGCTCGTGGAGGCGCGCTTTCTCGCACCTACGCCTCTGAGCGAGCATCGTTGCCGTCGTGCGTTGGTGCCTGCGGCAGCTTCAAGCTTCCTTATGAGGCACTTGCTTCTGCAGCGGACTTCAAGCTGGACATGCGGAGTACGCTGATAGAAGAATTTCTCCGCGAGATCGGCGTGGCACATGAAGCCAGCCTGCGCAGCTCATCCAGCACACATTGCCGCTGGTTCCTGTCGTTGTTGTTGCTGCAAGAGGTGAGGTAGTGCAAAGCCAGGCATCCTAAGGTGAATTCCAGGTGAGTCCGCCACCTGGCCCGGTGTCGTGTCTGCTCTGGAGGCAGAACTGCTACTGCCACTCCGCGCTCTTAATGACACCCGGAGAAGACCTAAAGCTGGGGGTCGTTGTATGGGAAGAGTCTTGTAAGCTACACGGGTTGGCAAGCTTTGTCGCGGTGCGAGGGTCGTCTTTCTTGCTCAGGAGTGTCGCATGCTGCAGACCATGTGTGGCGCTCCACTTCCTGAAGATGAGCTGAAGCGAGTTGTGCTGTCTCTCACAGAGGCGGTGCTAAAAAGCAGTACCGGCTTCGCTGACTGGCGGTACAGCACACCCAGGGGTCAAGACCAGTTGTGTGGATTGTCTGATCATCAGATCATGCTCTGGCGAGAACCGACTGCACAAGAGCATGCAGCTGGACTAAAGACGCACGAGGACGCGGTTGGAGAATTGGGCTTCTTTTGGGCAACGAAGATCGGAGGCCCATCTCATGGCTTCGATTACGAAAGCCAATGCATTCTGCCTTTGCTTGCAAACGCGCGGCACAAGGTAATTCTGGTCAGCGACCCGACTTGGACAGATCACCCGGTTGGGAGAGCACATTGGCGTTTGCTTTGGTCTGTTGGGTGTGGCAAGAAGCAGCCGGAACCTCGCCTATGGTTGGAGACAGTGAACGCCGATTTCGAAGCCCCTGTCTCATCAGAAGGCCGGAAAGCTGAAGTCGAATACCATCGCTTTGCAGCACGCATGCCAAAGTGAGCAAAGCTTTCAAAGGTTGGGAGACCGCCGTTCTGACCCACGCGATTTCCAAAGCAGATGCGATGTGTATACCACTCTCGGTGCCTGGGAACATGGACAGCGAGTGGTTTTCGACTCTGTCTTGCTGTCTTGGTCTATGTTTCGTTTTTACACTCGGAGTCTTGAAGGGCTTTGCCCGGTTCATCTAAGGTAGACCTGATGCAGGCGACTGCTTTGCACTCGCTCCTTGGCAGCTCGAGAGATGTGGAAGAGATCTCCGAGAAAATGCTGCTGCGAGCAAGCAATGCAACTCGGCACACCTGGCTGTACCCAGCTTGCCGCTTGCAAGCATGCCACTGGAGGCAGAAAGGAATCAGCGATTTACTTAGTTTTCAAGTTTTCCAAGGCGATCGTTGAGGCTTCGGATTATCTCAGCTCGGAGCATGACTGGGTGCTTGGCTGCTGAAGAGTCGTTTATAGGCAGCGATTGCTTTTGGTGAATCTAGGTCAGGGTGGACCTGATAAAGCCGAAGCGGGCTTGAGATTGTTGGCAAGGTCCAGACCACAAGCTTCGCGATAAGCTTGCAATGCTGCTTTCGGGGTCCCTCCTTATGCGGGCTTCCTTGTGCAGCCGATGCATCCTCATTCGCTTCCTCCGTCACCTCCATTTTGCCAGCAATACTGTCTGCTGGTTTGTCAGGAGCAACACTCGTTGGGGCGATAGTTATGGGGCTTGCCGGACAAGATGACACGAAAGCCAGTTCTCGATTCGTTTTCGAAAGTGTATGCTATTTGCCTTGGCTCTGTGGTTTTTTTGCAGAGTCACGTCTCAGACTGAAGGTGCAAGATGGCGAAGAAATCACAATGTCGATTGCACGAGCTCTTTACACGCCAAGGCAGTTGCTAGTTGCTGCCAGTCGAGGGGTTTCAGTTGACTGCGGAACCTTTAGTGCCAACTCCTCAGCTTGTTGTGTCAATTGAATTGAACTTGTGCTATGGCTTTTCAGCAGGGAGACATCCAATCTCCAAACCTCGTTTGGCTTGGGAGCCCCTCCGCATAGCTGTTGCATTCCATCCTGGCCAGGAGAAAAAGACCGCTGGAAGCAACCGAAGACAGCTGGGAGAGATGTGAAGTTGTGTCATCCTGATACAATTCATCTGCGAAAGAGCACTGTATTGCACTCGGAAATTCGACTGCTACATCCCGCGAACGGTGGCGAAGGTTTGATTGTGCACCATGCAGTCCAGAGATGGCTTCGGGCAGCATACACGTAAGCCCGGAGAAATAGCCTGAGCAAGTTGAACTGATGGTCAGCATGTTCGTTGTGGAAATCGCTCTTTACCAGAAAGATCTGGACCTTTACCTTCCGATGATGCATCTCATTGTCTTTGATTTCGTGCCATCCAAGACCGAGCAGGTGCATCGATCGGTTCCGGCTTGCTAACCAACTCAAACTTGCTTGTTCCATACCTTTCACTTCTGCTAGAGGCTTTACAGCTTCGTGGGTTCATGAAGCCTGCGCACAGCAGACGAACTCCATCATTCTGCATGATTGTTCAAGCTGGTGCGCAAGTGACACTTGTGCAGGTTTTGGTCCTACGCACACACACACACACACGCACTGACACAACCAGGCTGGGTTTGCTGTGACGCAGCATTTTCAAAAGAGGTGTTTTCTCAGTCGACGTAGACACAGCACCCACGCGTGTTCAACAAATTCAGAGCTGATACCCATCTTGCCCAACACTCCTTTAAAATCATGTTTCGGACACCACTACTTGTACCCAACGCTTATGGCTACTATTATGGATTTCGTCGGATCAACACTTCCGCGTTCCCAGGCAAACATGTATGGTTTGATGAACATTACAAGGAAAAGTCTCTATATATATAGAGTATTTTGTAAAGAGATACAATCTAAGGGCTTTAGGAGGGACCCTTAATAGGGACCCTTGTAGGTTATTGGGGTTAATATGGGGACTAGCTGGCTATATAAGGGGTATATAAGGACTATACAATGGTTATTTAAGGTAATGGGATTAAGGGTCCGTATTAGGCGTCCTTCCTAAAGTCTTCAGATACAAAAGATTTTTACTCGATCGGAAAATTCAAGGCAAAAAAAGAAATGATATTATGAATATGAATGGAAATTGAATAAACACGAAACGTATTTCTTTTATATTTATAGAAATTTAGAGTACGTGATATTGAATAATTGAGTTTGGGATGATTTATATATAGATGATAGATTTTGAAAAGATTTCGATAAATATATTCTTAGATTCTTAAGTTAATTTGGTTCTATTTATAGATCATAGAACTTGTGAGTTTTTATTCTGGAGAATTCGTTATGGTGAGGGAATTGGTGCGAAATAATTTAAATCTTAGATTTATTTTTTTCGATGAGATGGTTTTTTCATTGTATATTTTTTCTATAGGATGGAATTTTTGATTAAAATTGATTTATATTCTAGTCTCTTTTTGATATGAGGATGAGAAATTCTAGATATTTAATATTACAATATATATTTGATTATCTGATATTTAAATATTTCGATTCGGCCGTAAAGGAATAAGGTTTACGTGTTATTGGTGTTGCAGGTGTTGGTGGAGTGGTTGAGGGAAAGGGAGGACATTGTGCGCGGGTGGAGATTCTTTATGGAGAGCTAAAATTATTGGAGGAGGCTGGGGCTTATTTTCGGGATCGCTTAAAGTCTCTCTCCTTTCTCTCCCGATGGTTATTTGTGGGATTCGGGATTATGGGGAGGGATGAAGAGGGAATTTGAATAGGAATTCTGACTGCTTCGGGCGGGGCCGAGGCGAATTTTTATATATTTTGTATTAAGAATATGAATTTTCATTGATAAAGTATAAATAATTATTTTGAATGGTTTTTGTATTTGTGTCGCATAGAAATAATATATTTAAATTGGAATTTAGATAAGAGTATCGTTACGCGAAGTTGAAACGAATATTGAGTAGTACGAGTCTAGGTAAGTATCGTAGAGTAATAGTAGTGTAGGTGAGATTGAATGGAAGGACGTGGAGCGGGCATATCGAGGGGTGGTGGGTGAGATTAAGTTACGGAAACGGAATAGGGGATGTATTGATTGGGCGTACTTTTCGGGGAGTATAGATAGGGAGAGATTCATTATTTATAATAAAAAAAAAAAGTAAAAGAAATGAATTATTTAAAGAGAATTTCTTTTATAAAAAAATTAGGGGGAGGGCATATATAGATGGTTGGAGAGTAGAGGGATTGGTTTATTATGAGAATTAATTTTTTAATAAAATAAAATAGTAAATATTGATGAAAGTTTTATTTTGGTAATTGAATAATTTTATGTAAAAATTCTATGATTTTTATGATTTTGAATTTATTTTATAATTGGTTTTATAGAAAATATTATTCTGGAGAGTCGATTTCGTATAATTTGAAGAAATTTAATCTTTTTATATTATCGGATAATAAAAATAAATAATATATTTCTTTTAAATTATAAGATTTTTATCTAAGCTAATTGAAATTATGATTTTATTTATAATAAATATAAAGATAAATTTCTATTTCTATGATATTTGAATATTGAAAATTGTTAGCTTAGAGATTTGCTTGAGGGTTAGATTATGGGGCCGCCTAGGATTATTTTTAAGATTAATTTTTGATATCTTTTATAAGAAATTGCTATGACAAATATGCAAAATATTAAAAGAAGATATATATATAAATAGA